GCGAAATGAGCTATTTCGCATATTTCTGATAATTTGGCTATTTCGGAAACTTTCCGAATTATCCAAATTATCCGAACTATCTGAAATGAGCTATTTCTCTTAATTCGGATACTTTGGCTACTTCGGAAACTTTCCGAATTATCCGAAATGAGCTATTTCGCATAATTCTGATAGTTTGGCTATTTCGGAAACTTTCCGAATTATCCGAATTATCTGAAATGAGCTATTTCTTTTAATTCTGATAATTTGGCTATTTCGGAAACTTTCCGAATTATCCAAATTATCCGAATTATCTGAAATGAGCTATTTCTCTTAATTCGGAAAATTTGGCTATTTCGGAAACTTTCCGCATTATCCGAATTACCCGAAATGAGCTATCATCCGAATTATCTGAAATGAGCTATTTCTCTTAATTCGGATATTTTGGCTATTTCGGAAACTTTCCGAATTATCCGAATTATGCGAAATGAGCTATTTCGCATAATTCTGATAATTTGGCTATTTCGGAAACTTTCCGAATTATCCAAATTATCTGAATTATCTGAAATGAGCTATTTCTCTTAATTCGGATAATTTGTCTATTTCGGAAACTTTCCGAATTATCCGAATTATGCGAAATGAGCTATTTCGCATAATTCTGATAATTTGGCTATTTCGTAAACTTTCCGAACTATCCAAATTATCCGAATTATCTGAAATGAGCTATTTCTCTTGATTCGGATAATTTGGCTATTTCGGAAACTTTCCGCATTATCCGAATTACCCGAAATGAGCTATCATCCGAATTCTCTGAAATGAGCTATTTCTCTTAATTCGGATAATTTGGCTATTTCGGAAACTTTCCGAATTATCCGAAATGAGCTATTGCGCTTAATTCGGATAATTTGGCTATTTCGGAAACTTTCCGAATTATCCCAATTATCCGATTTATTCGAATTATCCGAAATGAGCTATTTCGCATAATTCTGATAATTTGGCTATTTCGGAAACTTTCCTAATTATCCAAATTATCCGAAATGAGCTATTTCGCATAATTCTGATAATTTGGCTAGTTCGGAAACTGTCCGATTCATCCGAAATGAGCTATTTCTCATAATTCTGGTAGTTTAGCGCGCTATTTATCATCATTCTGCCAATATGGCTATCTCGGAAACTTCCCGAATCATCCGCAATGAGCTAATTCTCATAATTCGGATAATAATTCTGTTTATTGCTTTGCCTAGTTCGCATATAATTCTGATAATTGCTTCGCCAAACTATAATTTTCGCCTTATCTGTTCCTTATTCGCAGCGCCTGGCCAGCTCCTGGTCCGCATTCCTCATCACGCTTCCCCTTTTGCTGCTTCCGACCCCTCTGAACTTAATCTTGTGTTGTTCCTGCGTCCTCATACTATACTGACCTTTATTCTCGTCCCATTTACAGCGTGTTTCTTGTTCCTATCCCTGTTGCTGCAATCCTTGTTCGTTATTCTTGTTTCACTTCGCATTCAGGTTTTTCCTTTGGTTCCTTTGGCCAAACCTGCATATTGCAGTATCCTTTCCTGTTGTAGTTGTTCCATGTTGCAATCTTCCTTCGCTCATTCCCTATTCTAGTCTCTTTTATTCCTTTCTTCCAGTCTTTTTTGCCTTAGTCCCTGTTCCGGCCTCCTTATTCCTTGTTCCAATATCATTTTGATATTCCTTATTCCAGTCTGCTATTCGTTATTCCATGTTCCAGTCTCCTTTTCGTTATTCTTTATTCCGGTCTCCTTTTCATTATTCCTTATACAAGTCTCCTATTTTTATTCCTTATTCCAGTCTCCTATTCGTTATTCCTTATTCCAGTCTCCTTTTCGTTATTCCTTATTCCAGTCTCCTTTTGTTATTCCTTATTCCAGTCTCCTTTTTGTTATTCCTTATTCCAGTCTCCTTTTCATTATTCATTATACCAGTCTCCTATTTTTATTCCTTATTCCAGTCTCCTATTCGTTATTCCTTGTTCCAGTCTCCTTTTCGTTATTTCTTATTCCAGTCTCCTTTTCGTTATTCCGTATTCCAGTCTCCTTCTTGTTATTCCAGTCTCCTTTTCGTTATTCCTTATTCCAGTGTTCTTTTCGTTATTCCTTATTCCAGTCTCCCTTTTTTATTCCTTATTCCAGTCTCCTTTTTTAATCCTTATTCCAGTCTCCTTTTCGTTATTCCTTATTCCAGCCTCCGCCCTATCACCTGTTTTCGTCACTCCTCTCCCCACGTTCCTGCGCCCCACCCTTGTTTTATCACTGTCCTATCACCTTTTCACGTTTTATCATTTGTTTATATTTTGTTATCACAGTCGTACAAATGTTGTAACATCTGCATACCCACCCTGCCCAGCTACCCTTGATTAGTTTGTCTTGGTGCTGAATATAAGGACCCAGAGGTGTTTGTAGTTGCCACCCTGAACATCGAATACCAACGCCAACCACACAAAACATGTTCCAAGCCTGAGGGGCCCTTAGATCGAACCGCCCGTGCGAGTTTGCAGAGGGAGTCACATAGATCTCCTCCAGCATTGTCCATCGTGGGCGCCATTGCGAGAGGTGTGAGAGCGGAATGTTTGACATTCAGAGAAGCAAGTTAGCACAGTATAATCATTTAACTGTCATGCGCTGGAAGTAGGTTTGCAAACCTGGAACGTGAGGTGACTATGTCCTGTTGTGTAATTAGCCCACTTATGTGCGAAGTGACAACTCCTTGCTTTTCATGCTTCAGCCGATCGACTCCGAGGGTCTTCACATGTCGATCGATCTCACACTAATGTGTTCCGTGGCCACTTTGGTAAAAGGAAAAATCCAGAACGCCTTGTGCTGCAGTGCTGCCAGCTCCGAGTTTCACTGCGATTTCTTCGGCTTTCAGTCTGAGAGCACAGGTATGTACGTATGTAGGTGAGAAATCCTGCTCTGTTTTGTATGACCGTGTTGATGTTCGTTCCACTTGACAGTACCTGTATGTAGTACTTGAATTAGCATGCTTGTGACACCACATGCCTGGTGAACGCCAGCAAATGTATGCTGTGACCGTACTTGAACTAGCATGCTTGTGACACCACACCTGCCTTTTGAACGCCAGCAAATGTATGCTCTGACTGCAGACGTCTTGAGACCAAGTCGAATCGGCTAGTTGCAACAAGACCGTTGTCATATGGTTGACGTTATTGTACCAACCACTCTGTATACACACTGCATCGTGCGCACCACCCGAGTGTGTAATCAGAGCGTAGAGCCCGGGGGACCGCCAAGGAGATCGATTCCCTCATGCCCAACGATCGTCACCACAGGACTGTTCTTACTGCACATGAGCTGGACAAGCGGCCTGCAGTTCACGAGCAGCATGTGTAAGGCAGCGTGTGCATCGCACATGCGCGAGTGCACGTGCTTGCATGCAAGTCTTGCATGCACTCAGCTTCTGGCTCTTGTCACACGGCCTGTGTGTTGCCTACAACTTCTGCTTCCCGGTAAAGCATTTTGCCGCAGCCCTATATGAGACTCCTTTCGCTGGTTCGAATCATCCCTACCAGCAGTGCCATCAGCTGCCCGAGCTCATGCAGGTTCTCAGCTTTACCGATGATCAATGCTGATGACACAGCGTGGTGTGACCCGGCGTTATCATGTTCTTTTTTCGGACCTGAACATCCCCGCCTATTGAAGGTGATAACTTCATTGGTGCGATCTTGCATCGCCTGCGACGTGACAATGAGTGGGAAACTGTAAGTCGTCGCTCACTCACACGCTATTGAGCAGAATTCTTGTTGACTTCTACAAACTCCCCGCACATGTGCGCTCTTCCTCCAGGTCCGCAACGGGTAAGCCGGACGTCAACCGTCGTCGCTGCTGATGCAACTCCAGGCCTCATTTTCTGTTGGTATGCATGGGTTGGTTCATAATGCATACTCATCGCACTGCTCCTGGAAACAGGTGACGCAACTTTGGGCCCGCTCCGGTCCCTGGTGGACACCGGGACCAAATGGGCCAACTTGCTACCTCTGGTGCCATATTATCGAAATGTGCCACCTCTACACCACGGAGCACGCAGCAAACCTTTGATTCTGTTGCCCGCCCACGGTGGCAGAACCAAGAAGAAGTCTCATCCCTCACCGGCGATCGACCCTCCCCCATCTGGGACATTCACGATGGGGCGAGGTCCAAGCGACTCGGGCTACTGGCAACGGCCGGAACACATGCGCACCAACCGCACGAAGAACAAGAATCCGAACCGAGTCAAACGCAGAGCGATAACGTGCGACCAGTCTCTTTCTCAGCGGATGTTGACATGCATGACACCTTCTTGTCGCAGGGCCTGCAAACAGTGCTCACAGAAACCTACACATGGCTGAGGTCAGGCTCCAGCACAGGACCGTGCATGCTGCAACAGCAAGAGAAGTCAGCATCTCAGCACTGCCAAATGGATAGAACGTGTGACCAGATCCGGGTGAGCTTGCGGAGCTGCGGCATCTAGACTATCTAGTTGAGTCAGACCAGATGCACACATACATCCACCGCTGCATCCATCCACTTCCACTAACTTCGTGACCAAGGTCAGACTCAGGAGAAGTTGATGGCGAAGCAGTGGTGCACCTCAGCTATGACGCCTAATCCGGCTGCAAGCAAACCTGCATCCTCATGCCTCTTGTCACTGCAAACCAGCAACACAGTTCAGACAGGCATGCAGCTGAGGCCAAGCTTGAGCAGAGGACAAGGCTCCCCGGAACAAGAGAAGTCAGCGTCTCAGCAACTCGAAACGTGTAAAACGTGTGGCCAGCGGCCAGTAAAACAGCTCCCGCATGACTAAGGTCGAACCCAGGAGCAGTTGATGATGGTGCGCTGGTGCATCTCAGCTATGCTGCACACATCTCACGTGGAAAAGTTAAGAACAACATCACCACGTAGGCAAAGGCAAAATGTAGAAACTGTAGAATGAACAAACAGCGACATTGCTACGCTATAAGGCCGCTGCCAATCGGCCACGACAATGGTGCGGATAGCATGAACGATGATTTCAGTCCAGATGACATCAGCAAGCTGGAGTCAGGATGAGAACATGTGGATGTGGTTGCTTCGGCACATGGTACCTCGAAGGCTGCGTGCTTTCCTGCAGGAAACGAAACTTCCATGGCTCCGCCGATCGACCATCCGCGTTGTTCCTGCGGACGCAGCATGATGACTCCAAAGTGTGTGCGCAAGTCTTCCAGCAGGTAACCTTCAACGTGTGCCACCTTGTACGAACTTACAGTACTAGAATGTTTGCTAGGTGTCACACATATCATGCTTGGTGTGTCTCAGGGGTCAATGTGCACTTCGGCAAGAAGATGATTCCTGGAAGCTGGAACATCTGGCACGGGGATTCTGGATTCTGCGCCTCGGCCTGCGAAGCAGACTGCTTTAGGCTCTGCGGTTAAAACCAGCGTCGCCGTCCGAGGGGACAACTACATCAGAGACGACATCAAGATGAAATTCTCGACGGGTCATGTGAAACTCCACCCGGACTGGAAACCGCCAGAGAAGAGGATCACATGTGAGCTTCTTATGCCTATGACACGCCCCAACAAAGCCTGCAGACATTCTTGACACACTTGGCAGGAAGCCTGGGCCCAAGAAAATCAAGATCTTCGACGATGGTCAGAACAGGCCAGCGCTGGCCAAGCAAGAATCGCAATCCAGTGCAAGCATCGCCTGCAGAGATATGTGTTCTTGTAACTTCTTAGGTGCGTGGACCTCGAGTACAGAACAAGGCAGCGGAGAGCGGCCAAGACAACTGCGCTTGTCATGAGAATTATCTAGCACACATATCTCTCTCTCTCTACACTGCACACACTGTCACTATTGCATTTGCGCAGGCTTGCGCATCTGATGTCATTGAACGGATCATCCGTGAAGATGAAGCGGTCCGCCAAGACCCAGTCTGGAACGCTTCGCACTTGTCAGCCAGGCTGAACGGGTGATAGGTATTGAGACCACGCTGTTCCTTCTGTCAAGATGCAGCTCAGTGTAGATGCCGATGCTATAGTGCAGGTTCGGCACGCTACGAGAACACGTGTCTCGTCGACTCTTTTCGAGCGGTCGGGTTGAAGATACCCTATCAAGCGGATGGACCGTTTTGGGCGATCCATGATGGCAACAGGATGCTGGCTCCGTTTGGGCCGCCGAACTCAAACTAGAGCGTTCGTCGAAGCGGTGTGTTTTACATAGTTTCCGCATGCATTGCTACGACCACTGCGTCATGAGGTACACGATCTCAGAACTATCGGACTTCGAGGAGCTCATGCCCGGCAAATACGTGCTCTACAAGTCCAATCACTTTGTCGGGCTCAGGGTGTTCGCCGACGGGACCTGCCACATTGGCAGGAACCATCTTCCGCAAGACTGCCTGTGCGCAAGAACCAGTGAACTTGATCTAGCGAAGTATGACATGATTCTTCAGGTTCAACAACAAGGCTGCAAGACATCCATGGAGCGGGATGTCTCCGGCGGTAGTCCGTCGCTGACAGATCAACAGAAGCGAAAGATCGATGATTCCAAGCTTGAAGCTGTTGCCAGGAAAGGGAGGCGACTCGCCGCGCTGCGCGGATTACGACTCCACCACGCAGACCCGGACTCTACCTGGATTCCGGCGATTCCTGCGTCGCCGGAAGAGTTCGACCTCTCAACAACTCCCGATGTGGACATTCTGAAGCTCGTGCACCCGCACCGTCGGGATCTCAAAGTACAGTTCCATTCTGCCAGCCATGTTTATGAGGTTCATGGACAGGCGACGAACGGGTCGGTCACCGGCATGATTCACGCCTTCTGCAGAAAGTTTGATGCTGATACGACGATTCAAGGTATGCAGAATGGACCCAGATGGCCTCGCGAAGGGTATTTGAGAGAACAAGTCTCCATGCATTCGCTCGTGCGTCTCAGCACGCTTTGTCCTGAACTGCCTGGGCTCTTTGTCTCACGCCCTCGGAACGATGCACAGATTGCAGGACTCCTTCAAAGACTTCGCCACGTGGGCGACTTCGAAGAAGAAATCGTGCAACTCAGCCTGTCCTCACCAGAAATCAGGGACATGTGGAGCCGAGGATGTAGTGAGGCGGCTCACTATGGAACGTACATGCACTACCTGTTCGAGGCTTACTTGAATGGGTACGAAGTACCAAGAAGTTCGCCGGAGTTTCGTATGTTTCAGTCTTTCCTGTCCTCGATCGACCCCCTCGCAACCGTGTGGCGAACTGAATGGGTGGTTTACGGTGAGGACGAGAACATCGCAGGATCCATCGATTTTTGTGCGAAGCTGGCAGATGGTAGCCTAATGCTTGCAGATTGGAAGCGCACGTCTGGACTTCGCAACAAGTTTGGCTCGCGGCAACAAATGCTGCCTCCTCTCCAGCACCTTCCTGATTGCACTGGAATGCACTACAGATTGCAACTCAATGCATACCGGTACATTGTAGAGAAGTACTATGGCTTTCAGGTTTCCCGGATGTGCATCGTGTGCTGTCATCCGGAACACGGCGAAACGCCATTGGTGGATGAGGTGGGTCGGTTTGAAGCCGAAACCGAAGCCATGATGGCCATTTGGCGGGATGCAAGAGGTGGCGCTGATGCATCATCTCCTCCGTTTCCAGGGAGGCTGGAAACCAGATTGGAGGTATGGGAAGGAACTCAACGCCAGCGTGAGACAATGTCAGCGGATGGCATCGCTGGTCGGCGGCCTTACGGGATGCAAACCCGCATGATCGAGCTGGTCGGCTGGAAACGCTACGAGCTGAACTGTCTCCTCAAGTTTCAAAGGGTTTGTGAGCAAAACCAAGCCATGATGGCCATTTGGCGGGATGCAAGAGGTGGCGCTGATGCATCATCTCCTCCGTTTCCAGGGAGGCTGGAAACCAGATTGGAGGTGTGGGAAGGAACTCAACGCCAGCGTGCAAGTTTCTTCGGCGAGTTTCCGAACAGCATCAGGATTCTGCCGCGCCCAAGCGAGTGTCAGATTGACAGCAAGCGGGTTTGGGAAAAGAAGATGTACATCAGCCGCAACTTACTCGCTATGCTGGTTGATGACTACCACAACAAAGGATATATCGTCTATCTCTACATCTGCAACTTATTGAGACATCATCCCGCGCAGCGTCGAATGTTCGAGACTGCCATCCCACATCCTGCAACTGCTAGTATGGAATCAAGAATGTGGCTTGGCGCCGTCATTGATTTCCTGGTGACTCATGTTCCTCCACGCCTGTATGTGAGCGTGCGGTGCAAGAAGGATGTGCGAGGCGGGTCGCAAGAATCAATCATGCCTCCTGTTGGTGTAAACCCTGAGACAGACGCAGTGATGCAGCAGCCTGATGTGGATGGCCAGCCAGAGCGGCTCATGGGCTTATCTCAGGAGCTAGAAGGTTTCAGCGACGAGGCTCAGCATTCGGAGCATCTGGAAAGAGCGCGGAAACGGCGAACTCTACCGGGCGCTGCTACGACGACAAAAAACTTCGAGCTGGACCTGGGTAGATACAACGCTGCTTGTGACATCTCCCTAGACGGAGCCGTGCAGTTCTCTGAATCTGGTGAAGCCACAATTCTACAAAGAGTTGAGGGTTTGAAGCGCTGGGTGTTGCAACGTATGCCGAATCTGGACGACGACATGCTCCGTCTTGCAGTGGGGGCTGTGTCAGTCTACAGGCTTCGTTTGTGGGGCATGCACATACGAGAGCATGTCCTGCTTCTTTGGATTGTTGAGGGAGGCGAACACATGAGGTGCCATGGTGGAAATCTGTACTTCTATCAGCATGGTGCTTTCACGGTCCACAGAGGTATCCCCCCTCAAGCTACTTTGGCTAGATGCAAAAAGTTCGTCTTGGTCCTGGAAGGCTTCTTTCGTTCCATCACTCGCTCAAGGTTGGACAATGACCAGCAAGTTCTAGACGAGTTGTCAACATTACTGTCGCAGAGAAACAATTCCCGGGAGCTGATGCAAGACTGCGAGACTGCAGCCTTGCGTGGGAGTGGAAAGCGCTTGCCGCACAGACGAGCACGTTCTGCTGCGCCAGTGGGCGATGGGGAAGAAGCGCAGGATGCTCCAGCTGCTGCAGACGAGTCTGGGTCGAATGCACTGGCAGACGCCCTCTCCAAGATAGGGTTGGCAATGCAAAGGCAGCTTCTCGAAGACCGAATTTTCAATCTCGTGGTAGAGTGGTGCGACACGCCGCAGGTCCGTGCGGCGGGATGCTCGTACCAGGATTGTGCAGTCATGTACGACCTGAAGTCAGACCAGCCCGTTACGATGGTTGGTGACAGTCCGAACAACAATCTGTACCTCCACATCGCACACCCCCTCATGCAGCGTGGACTTCCAGACCCTGTGCTGAAACAAGCAGAGGAAAGACTTCTCAAGTTCTATGCGCAGACATTCTGGCTAAACAACGAGGCAGCTCTGCGAATTGTTTAGTCTTAAAAGCCCAGTTGTTGCAAACATTTGCTGTTCGGGAACGATGGCCATGTTCACTTTCACTGGGTTAGATGGCAGTAGATATATTGCTTCCTGTTGAGTCTGTGCGGATTAGCTTTCCAGGTCTTCGCCTGCAACCAAGCCGCAATCGCCCTGGCCAAACGTGGCGAAAATATCGTAAGATGCTTCATCGGAGAGAGCCCTGGAGGTTGCTCAGTGCCTGCAAAGTAGCAGTAACAACCTAGTGTTTGTTTTTGAGAAGTCATGAATATCCGTCAAGGTGTGGGGCAATCTCTCTACAGTGCCCACCTTGATGCAGTCTACTCTCCGAACCACAAGTTCATAGACCCCAACATATGGTGGCTTGACCCAAGATCGGCATACAAAGTAGGCTTGAGCATGCGTGCGTAGGAGGCTATCATGTGAGTTGTGCAACAAACCAGGTACGACGAATCCGAAATGAGGAAACAAGTCGAGCAGAGTGCCGGCTGCTTCATACTCACCGCGCAAGAGGCCCCCGAAACCAACAAAAAGATGCGTGAAGATTTGTTCAAGAAGACGATGTCAGCGGATGGCATCGCTGGTCGGCGGCCTTACGGGATGCAAACCCGCATGATCGAGCTGGTCGGCTGGAAACGCTACGAGCTGAACCGTCTCCTCAAGTTTCAGGGGGTTTGTGAGCAAAACCTGCCGTCAGTCCTCAGACGGGGTTTGGTTTGGAAGCCCATGGCCAGGTTCATTGAGGAGTCTGTTATCTTCGAGGTGTATCCCGATGCCAATCTGGATGGTTACTTTTCTAAGGATGACACTTTGAAGGATTTCCTCAGATCTGGCCCCGCAGTTGCGGCTGCTTTGCGGATTCAGCATGGTTTCGAGACACTGCACACTCGACAGCATTGCGTGGACAAGATTGAGAACTATGCCAACCAGCCCTTTACGGAAGATCGTATCAGGTCTGCGTGTGGTTTGCCGAAGAAGGTCCGCTCGGGGGAAAGTGCTGCTCAGCTGCGAGTGCCAGTGGATCCATCCAGCCAGGAAGATGAGGATGACAACAAGAAATCAGAAGTTGATTCTTTCTCGCCAATTGGGGAGCTTATCAAGTCACACTGCCTTCAGAGCGGCAAGACTGTGATGACCAAGACCATGTTTGTTGGCTACCTGCGCATGCCTGCTGGGCATCCGAAAGAGCTCAGCAAGGATGCCATTTGGCAAAAGCTTCTGGAACACAGACTTCTTCTTCCAGCCAAAGATACTGCCAAGTACAAGGACTCCGCTATACCTTTCATCGCTTGCACAAAATCTTTGGGCGGCATCGTCAGTGTGGATGTTGCTGAGGACACGACAGAGCATCGCGAAGTTCATGATGTTTCTGCCTTGCTGAAGTACGCGCATGGCTGCGAAGATCGCGAGGCGAACGCTGCATTGGTGATAGCTTATTTGGACAGCCAGATAAACTCTGGAAAGGGCGTGGGCAAGGGCAACAAGTTGCCCGAGGCGCTTGAGAAACTGAAAAGCCTTCGCAGTAAGCTGTCGATTGCAGAGGAACTGCTGTCCTGTACGTGCGAGAAAGCAAGCTCGTCCTGGGCGCGGGAAAGCAAGTCGAGTCGCCCGGATGTGCAGCGTCTCAAACGACGCAGGACTCACAAGCAAGCTGACGACACGGCAGAGCCTGAAGCAGTGGAGATTGAGCCTGCTGAGCTCCCCGAGCCTGATACGTTCGTCCAAGAGAGAGCCTTTGTTTATGAAAGAAACTTCCAGAACATGATTCGCACCCGAGCATATGTTAAGGGCGACGGAGCTCAGAAGTTTTCACGACGTATGCTCCGTGTTCTTTGTCCTCAGACTGTGGACTTCGATATTCAGAACGCTGTGTTTGTCATCCTTCAACAGCTAGTGCAGAAGCTGGATGTATCATCTTCCATGCCACAGGCGCTACTCGATATCCTTGCAGACTGTGCTGCGAAACGAAAAGAAATCTGCGAGAACAAGCTCAACTTGTCTGAGAAGAAAGGCAAGCACTTGCTTCACGAACTACTATTCGGGGGAATACCACCAGCATCTTTAGCACAAAACCATTTCGTGAAGGACTTCCAGCAGCTGTCCTTGTGCTTGCGATGGCTTGCCTGCAGCTTGTTGCCAGAAACGTATGCCTTGGTCAAGGACATGTCCGCCAAGAAACATCCAGAGGCTTCAGCTTTATTCTACCTCTATGCAGCTGTTGAGGACTACATCCTTCAGGCCTGGGAAGTCGCAGTCGTGAGGTTGAAGCCCAAGCACCTTTCCTTGCACTTTGACGGTCTACGCTGCATGGGTATGGAGACGGAAATGACTACAGGTCAGCTCTGCACGCACTTTGCCGAGCACATAAAAGCAGCTACAGGCTTCGATGTCGTCATTGTTGAGAAGGAGCATTTGCTGTTCTCTGAGATGTGTTTCGGGACTGAGGAGAAGATAGACAAGCTTGATTTCGACAGTGCCATGAAGGCACCTGGCAACTGTATCTGCCTGGCACTTGCTAACCTCTTTCCGAATCGCTTGGAGCAGATAAAGAAATGGGTGAAAGGGGCCACGTCCGACAATGCAGATGCTGAGCGCACGTGTTCCAGATCGTACAAAAAGACGTTGCATGGGCTCAAGGTTCATGCTGTGCCATCCATGGATCCAGTCTTTCAGGTTGGTGGCAAATACCTCATCCATGCTGAGAACGGGGGGCGTCCGCATTGCATCTCTTGTGTGGTTCGTGCTGAGGATGATGTTGTTTTGGTGGACTCCCGCGGGCGAACTTACAGCACAGTGTCACAAGTCACAGGCTTCGCAGAGACTTGCGTCGACTCCAAATCCATCGTGCTGTTCAGGTGCTTTGAGAAACAACCCGGTCCGATCCCGCCTGCGCAGGCTCTGAAAGAAGGCCAAGAGATACTCCTGAATCTTCAAGCGGGAGCTGGGCAAGACGAGTGGGCATCTTGCTTGACTCAGCCGGCTGACTCATCACTTCAGGCTGGGTTGCATCACACTACACAATCTGGTCTAGCTGACATGTGTGTCTGTGTGTGTGCGCGGCTTTTTTAGCCTCATATATGTTGGTAGTGAGGCTAGTGCTGTGAACTTGAGCTGTATACACAAGCAAGTCATCTAGACGAATAATGTTGCTGCAGGAGTCGTCCGACGATGAGGGTGGAGATCCCGAGGCAGAGCTCGACGAGTCCCTAGTCCAGGTGTCGAACACCCTCTTGCGTTCGATGGAGCTTGAGGTGTCCCGTCAGCTCGAGACCACGTCCAACACCAAGAAGTGTCCGTTTTGTCCTTTCCGTACATTTCAGAAGAACAGTCGAGTGCAGAGCCATGTTCGGCGCTACCACACGGAGGGACGGCAGTTCGTATGCTCTGGGACAAAGCAACTGAAGATAGTTGCGGCGTTGTTTGATGACGATCAGATTTCCGGAAGCCCGGGTGGCAAATATCTTGAGAGAAGCGCCTGCATCCTTCGTCAGAGCATCGTTCCTGGGTTGTCAGTTTCTCAAAACGAAATTGACCGCTACATTCGCCTGGTACTTACAGCCGATGGACCCTTGTTGTGCAATCTCTCCGCCCTTGGTGACACCATGCATGTAAGACGAGCCAGGAACTTGTATTATGACCAGGGTTTTGCCGAGCTTGTCTTCCGAGAAATGCTCATGTGCAGCGGGAAGTGTCAGGCAGTATCTTGGCAACGAATAGAGAGTATGGGTGTGTATGTGTATAGTCATACGAGCAAATTCGCTTAGACATTTGGACAGGCTCATCTTATCAGATTTTCTTAGGCCAAAGCAAGAATCCTTACATTCCTCGCTGGCCGCAAAGCTCAGCTCCTGTCACTCCTGCCGACTATGGCAGCGCACTGGTGGCCGCTGATAGAGGACGTTTTCGCTGCGCCAGTCTTGCAGGCATGTTCCAAGAAGATGGTTGACTTCTTCATTGATAGAAGGGAGTTCGAAACCATCTCCATTGATGCGACGATAAAGTGCTGCATGGCCGTCATGGGTCAAGAATCGTGCCGTCGCAGTGCGACAAAGCGAAATGCGGCGCCGTTCGACGACGAGTCCGCCTATCGAAGGGTGCTGACGGTTCGGGGCCGCACCAGTGCGGTTCTCGCCATGGTCGCAGTCCCGAACGAGAAGGCTGAGGAAGTTAGTTTGGCCTTGTCCAAGGCCCTCCCTGTGGCGGGACTTCGTCAGACCCAATGCGTCGCCGCAGACAATGCCTCCCTGAAGCTTTATGCAGAGCTTGCAAGGATATTGCCCAACCTCCAAGCCCTCTGCCTGGACCCCATACACCTTGCTATTGTTTACGAGCAGCTTACTTGCATGATCGCACCATGTACATGTAGAGATGCATGTGCTATCAGCAAGAAATGAACAACTGACTGGCTGCTGCAGGTACGCGACCTGGCGGAAAAAGACGCAGGGTGCAAGATTTCTCAGGAAAATATTGCAGAAATTCATTTCTGTCGATCCCAAAGCCGCAGAAGGGTCATTCGGCATATTTTTCCATGGGCACGAGGAGCGAAATCTATCTCTCCAAGAAATACGAGTCAGGGACCAGATATCAAACGGATCCATGCTACCGGCGAAGGCCAAGCGCATCTATGCAACGCTTGATGGAGAGAAGCCTTTCAGGTCTCGCCTCGAGTATGTGGAGGCCCTGGCCGCACTGGCTGCTTTGCACCCTGAGGACATGGCCCGAAAGGTTACTGGTGCGAACCAATATGTCAGCCACGTCCTCTGGTGCTCCTGTTCACCAATGCGGCTGGAATGGTTGTGGAATAATCTCCGATGGCGACACCATGTCAGTCTTGAACTTAGTTCTGCTGGGTATACTGCATATTGCAAAAATGCTTGTAACCGTCCGTACGAACCAAGCACTGAGGAGCCTCTGACCTGACGCTCCTACCTGCAGGCACAAGCTCCAATGAGGCATTGCATGCCGAAATCAAGAACTGGTTTTCACGTATCCAGCAAATCCACCAGAGTACTCTTCAACTGAAACTCAGCATCCTCACCCTCTCAAAGCAGTGGCCGCACTTCACCGCATTGCGGAATCCAACTCTAAGCCAGATGTCGGGTCAGTCACTGCTAGCTCGACTGGCTGGCAAGAGTCTTTGGACCTCGGACTCGTGGCGGGAATGGTGCATGGCTAATGTAGAAGAAGACGTCGTCTGCAAGGCGGATATTCCATTGGAGGAAAGCCGTCGGGTTGAGAGGCGACTAGTGAGGCAGTGGTCCGTTAAGCGGCCAGCTGCCTGCCAAAGATCTGCGCAGCCGAAGCGGAAACGCACGGTGTTCACTATGGAGAGGGACCATAAGCTAAGGCGACAGGGAACAAAGCGTAGCTGAAAGTGATCGTTAGCTGTACATCAGGTGTGGCAAGAACCAGCTATGTTTCGAACATTGACAGCCACAACTGAGCTTTGATCTATCCGCTGCAGCCGAGCTCCCTCCGTTGTTTGCGACTTGCACGGAAAAAGTTGACTTCACGTGGCAGGCAAGAAAAATCTGCTTTCACGTTGGCAATCAGGATAAACTTGCCTGAATGTCAGTCAAACTGCCTAGGAGGTGTACTCTTTCTGTTGCAGGACTATTGCTGTGCCATACCATGCCATATCAGAGATGGCCGCGAAGGTCTGGGCGTGGCTTGCTTTGGGAATTCAAAGATTGCGGATGGCACTGCAAAGTCTGTGACCCAGGAGGACAAGCCGTGCGTGCGGCCTACTACTAAATGACACTGCCCCAAACGTGGCCCCAATGATCACGAAGTGGGAACATGCATGTGTGAATGCATCTGATGCCGAATCCGAACGGACCTCGATATCTAGTCCAATTCGTTGGGTGTCGCAACAAGAGCTATGAGCACAGTGTCATGGGCCTGCCTTGTAGATCATGTATATATCATACGGACCTGCTTCGCAGACCGCATCAATCCTTTACAGTGCTCCGCCTCACATGCAACTTAGTGGCTCAAGAATGAGCTCAAGCTCGTACTGTGAATAGCCAAAAACTTACGACTTAGGTTGTACGCTACCGATCCAAAAGCCTCGAGCCAGTCCTCTTTGCACGGAGCACTCGCCGAGCCATTGCAAGCAAAAGGAGTTCGATGCAGTGCGCCTGCATCGGAAGTGGATTGCTGCGAGGGTGTTGTATAATCTGCCAAGATATTGGCCAATCACATCTACATCATCAAGCTCTGTGAAGTGAGCAACAACAGTATCATCTATACCAAGCACTCACGTGCCGAATGACATTGGCTCAAGACTGGACGCTACTGGCCTGACGGCTTGACAGCACAAAGGATTGATCTGCTTGTGTGCATGATTGTATCGGGTAAGTTGAGATCTCGGTAGGTTCTGAGTGGCATGATTGTACTGTTGAGTTTAACATGTACAGTTGGGAATGGGATCGTTTGGCAAATGAAATCAACTCTCGGTCTTGACGTCATGAGGCTTCGGGTGTGGTTACAGGCGGAGCGGGCATGGCGAGGCCTTGCCGAGTTGCATCCGTCCTCCCACCACGCAACGAGCCGAGGAAGAGGATAAGGAAGAGGAAGAAGAAGAAAGAGGGCCAGACAGTTAATCGTCCCCCTGAACATGTCGTGTACGAATAGGAAGACTTCTAAGAAGAATGCCAGAAAAGCGTAAGAAAAAAACTGTAGTTAGGAGAAGCCGGAAGCTAAACAAAGTGTGCGTGCGCCTCATGTCATGATCGAAATGCTCATGATGCATGTCCATAGCCTTTACCCGACCACAGCACCTCCGCCCGCTGCCATGGCATCCCCAGCGAAGCGCCTCCGAGTGCAACTGGCGTCAGCAGTGGCCCATCGAGACAACTGGCAGCTGAAGGTACTTGTTGTTAAAATACCTCAAACGTGCCGTTTAGGGGGGTGATAAAGTTATTCCCTGCAGGTGGACATTCTGACGCAAAAACTGGCCGAGGAAGAGGCGGTGCGCGACGACGACGATGACAAGTCTGGCAGCTCCAGCGACTCCAGTGACGCCAGCTCAAGCTCATCTTCCAGCCCCCGTGAAGTACAACATAGTACAACCAAACGGTGTCGCTGCAGAAGTCGCCCCCGCTGTGATCGGAGCCCAAAACCCCCCCCCTCCACTTCCTGATGCTCAGCTTGTGAAGTGCAAGGCCTGCGACCAGCAGCTTGAAAAAAATGCTGGTCTCAGAAAGAAGGTATCAGTTAAACACCACCCTGAATGCCAGAATCGCATTCGGGCTGTGGGGGGCGGGCGTAAAGCGGCATAGGCTTCAACAGTTTTAATCTTCGTTCGCCACAAGTTTTCCGTGAAAAAGCGCTGCGTGTGCGAATCGCTCACTGCACATGTTACGGTTCGGTTCTGAGGCTTCTACAGGCTTCAAGATGCAATACACACTTAGTTTATTAGTAGGCTTAAAGCAAGGCCAAAGAGGAAGTCACATTATACATAAAGGTTCCTGCCACATATATATATATATATATGTATGGATACGGCATCTGAGCCTGCTTGTCTAGCTTGTGACCCCTCTGCTCCAGGAAGCTCTCGTACTGCTGGCACGCAGCCTGCATGGTGCAGGCGCAGATTCAGCAGATGTCTCCCTCCACAAGAAGCACTATTGCGCTGCACGCCGATGCACACAAACTCCCGAGTAGGCCCGAGTAGGCACGAGCAAACACTCACCGAATATTTATTTTGGTCTGCTCACATGCATTTTTGCAAGAAGCTTCGGGTGCAGTAGCGGTCGCTGCACAACTGCGGCCTCCCAGTTGCGTATCAGATCCTCTGGGCCTTGCATTCCATTGGTATCACACACGCCGGAGATCCACCTCCGACCTCCCCGTTCTTAGGGCCAGAGCCGCAGAGTTTCACCTCGAAGAGGACCTGCGCGGGATCCAGCAAACCTCTCATCGGAGATCCTTGCTGACTTGCTGCCTCACTAAGAGTCTCCCTGAATGCTAGGAAATGCTAGGAAGAGAAGGAAGCCTTTTTGATGCGGGCCGCTAGCAACTGTAGATAACGCAGACATCCCAGCCGTTTCAGCTAGGACACATACAGCCGTGGTTCCACGGCTCGCGTATCTGCGAGCCAAGTCGGAACTTCGTGCATCATGCATTGGACCACAGCAGCTACCAGGTCGAGCTGTAAAACAACCATTCTTGAATGCGACTGTCCTGGTCATTCCTGGTCTAACTGCTCTGGAGCGCTGTAGCAGGCCTGCTAGTGGCCTGCTTGAGGGCTGCACACTTTGTCCGGGCATCAATGCTGGTCGCCTGACTATCACGACACGTTCGCAGTTGCCCGAACGCGGGTCGCTGGAGGCAATGACGAAAGGGAGTCGAGAACTCACATTGGAAGTTCTTGCGCGAGCTACGCCCTGGAATCAAACCGCATACGAGTGTCCATATCCTCAGCACTCGGTCTGATACGAGAGTCGGACACGCGACATGGCATGCTTCGTCTTGTCCAGCTGCGAACCAGTGGGATCCCACTAAGGCGACAACCCCTGCCACAAACTAGACAGCATGTGAACTCGTTTGCAGTCTTCCTGTCTAATCCTCACCGGCATCGTGACTGTCCTAGTGCGCCGTCCAAGTGCAAAAGCATGTCTCCTATATCTCTGACGGAGTCATGCTTAAGACTGTAGAGTTTGGCATGGATGCCCAGTTTAATAGTTTTGTCGACTTCCTCTTAGTGTCATGACACCGACGTTGGCAACCATGTTGATCCGGACATCATGAGCACGATTTTGATCCTCACCGTCATCACGAATATTAAGTCCGGTAGTGATAATAATAACCATGACAGATCATTACCACTGTCAACATCGTCGTCCTACTGTTTCCTGCTGCAGCTTGCGCGCAATCGCTGTGAACATGATGCGCAACGCTAGGTGAGAGTTGCAGAAAGAGATGCGTGATTGTAGAAGCTGCTGTCGGTCGCGGCGCTGGCTGCAGGCACCAGCTTGCTTTCGTGCTGCTTTGCTTGCTGCTATTGCTACTGCTGTCGTCGTCTGCTGCCGGCAGAGTGCACAGATCTGGTAAGGAGACGGACAAGAAGGGAAGGGGACCTGCGTCCTGAGCCGTACGCATCCATGTTGGAGATGACAATCCGTATGCCCTCAACCACGCTGACCTTTCCAGAGCACTGGGTCTGGGTCCGCTCCATACTCGCTCCCTTTCGATGGTAATGTCGCAGCTGAAGTAGATTCTAAGTTGACTATGAACTCTGAACTCTCAGCTGCGGGCAATTGCAAGAACAATGGCGCAGATCGGTTCTGCCTGCTCAGCTCAGTGCTGTGCTTGAATCATCTGCTGCGAAACGCGTGCTGCTCAGCTCAGTCCTTCCACATCCCTTCTTTCTCATAGCTAGCTGCCAATCCCATGACCTCGTTTGGGTTCGGCAAGTCTTGAGTTCTTGGTTACTGCTGCAATTCTCATGCCGCGCTTTGCATGCGGCGTCCGGGCTCTTCAAAGCAACTGAGGCACCGGCCAGAAGAAAGATCAGACTGATGACGGAGTTCACCAGTGCACTCCAAACCTTGGACTTTGCTAAACACCACAGCTTAACCTTATGCAAGATCTGAGTGCAGCTCATCTTGCTACACGCAAGCACAGCAACCGCTTTTCTTCCACTTCATGAAGTTCCAGCACGAACTGCTGAGGCGTCTTGCAGTCATCAAACTCTCTGTCGTCTTTCTTTCTTTCTGCTGGGCTTTGAGGTCACGTCGTGACCATCAGGCCATCGGCCCGTCCAACCACACCATGTTGTTATCTTTCTTTCTTTCTGCCGGGCTTAGGTCATCTCTCTCTCTCTCTCTCTCTCTCTCTCTCTCTCTCTCTCTCTCTCTCACACGCACACACACACACACACATTTTCGTCTGACCTGCCCCCCCTTTTTCTCCCCCCACCCTTTACACCCTCTATCCTGCCTCTATCCCTTCCTGCTGTCTGCGCGCTGACCTTATCCCCCTCTACCCACACCCCAGCGCGCAAATTCGAGCAAGTCGGCCTGTAAGGTTGCTTGCCAATGCGACTTACCCTGCTGCTATGCTCATATTCATGGGCCATTGGGACTCTTCTTCTTGCTGTACCTTGTACTGTGAACAACCGTGACTGTTCCTCGACAAGGTGTGCACTTGGAGTCAGGCAATGCCCCTTCGCAGCTTTCGCCCAAGGAAGAAGCGTGCGATTGCCTCCGAGCACAATGAAAAATGGCTTCACACCATGCTCGCGGGCAGTTTACACTGATTTCAGTTTGCCGCCTGAAGCAGGTAGAAGGCGAAGCCGTACCATGCCAGGAATTCGGTAGCCCACTGGGCCTGCCACATCAAGCACGTATCGTAAGGCTTGGCTTTGGCTTGGCCCTGCCTCCGTATCCATGTCTCGATGATCCAGGTACCACCTTCATGTTGTTGCAATCTCGTCAAAATCTCAGAGGTCATGGTGCTGGGCGAGCGGCTTGTCCCAGAACTTGATCTTCCGGGCGGCCTAGCATGCACAGCAGGCTATCGTAAGACGAGCCTTGAAGTTGAATCCCTGTCGTCGTGGCGCTCCGGCGAGTCCCAACTTTCGGCATGTCAGCTGATTTCCGCGGGTTTTTACCCGTTCCCCTATGGGGTGCAGACGGTCTGTGAGCCTTCTTGGGCTGGTTTGGATGATGTTTGCCACTCAATGAATCGATGAGCGATCGGTCGCTGAGATTCGTAAAGGCATTTGAGAGTAGGGGTAGCGTGTTTGGGGTTCTTATGATAAGGATCCTACCATTTGGGGTGCAAAATAGCGTCCCACATTTTCGAAAACTCCCATTTGAATAGTCTTTTCCAGTCAGATCGACAGCCACGGGCTTCGGACGAGTAAAGCAGACAGCAACTAGCAACGCCTGTTTCAGTTAAATGCAAGCACTTGCCTGGCAGTCTGAAACACCAAATTGGTCTACGTTGGGGGGTCTTGGCAAAAGGCTTGACAGACTGGAAGGCTGGCGCTGATAAAAAAGCTGCAAGCCACGTTCCATTTAGTCAATTTAGCCACCCCGAAAGAGGTGGAACTCGCGGAGCAGGGCGTGGCCGACAAAGACTGCCGATGATGATGGCAGATGATGACCCTCATGATCGCCAAAGAGGCTCCACTGCAAACGTTGCTTGTGGCCCCTGCCGCGGGCGCAGTGATGTACTCAGAGCACTCCGGGGAAACAAGTATTTGCTTCCTGAACTTCGTTCCCCACCACACTCTTGTTGTAGAAACGAAAGATGCACGATGATACCTTCCCTGACTTTTGCATGTATCGACTTCGAGGTACACCCGCATGCAGAGGTTACTGATCATGCAGAGGTTTGCTGATCAGCGCACCTTGAAAACGAGGGCTGCTGCGGCAACCAACATGGCCAGGCCCATAACCTAAGCTTCAGACTCGGGATCGGCATCGAGGCCCTCAAGCCACTATTCAGCATAGCAGCCACGTTGAGACCCTGCTCCCGGTACAAGAAGCGTCGTCTCTTCTCCCTGAAGGAAAACTTCGTTCTGCACACCATTGAGTCACAGCCGGGCTTGATCCTCCGGCCTGAGCAAGGATTCTTCCGCATCTTGTGGCCTGACACGAAGGGGGCTCAACCCTTCTGCAAAAAAGTCTTGTCCCTGCGGGCCCGACACACCCAACTCTCCCACCAAGCGCACGATCAAAATGATGGAAGACAGCATGTGGGAGATCGCCTGCAAAAGACGCACTTGTAAATTACGGTGGCTTGATGTGCTGCAACGGATATCACCGGATGACACCCAGGGCCTGCAAGCCCAGGCAGTACAGTGATGCCCCAATGGCTCGGTACGCAAACTTGAAGGCAACGCCCATCATGACGGCACTGCCTGCGTGAGCTGGGAGCACAGTCTGCGCGATCTCACTGCTTTGCTTGCTAAGCTACAGCGACGCCCCTAAAGCCTGTAGCATCACCCCCTTGGGTTCTGGCTGATGACATCGGCTCCGGAGATGAGGACCAAAATGAAGCCTGCGGCAGGACCCTAATATGGTACCCTAAATGGCAGGATCCTAACTTTCGGAAACTCCCATGTATGAGAACAGAAGCAACAGTTGAGAGGCCGACTTTGTCTGCGCTCTTGCAGCGACGAGGCCTAGCAATGTTGGTGCAACACATTGCCGGTGCAATGCCACAGTCACATGGCCTCCTGAAGAACGCGCGGGTACCCAGTGTCTTCGTCGATCTCGCCAAGCATGCACAATTTGGGTGATGCATCGACTTATGCCCGACTGCAGCATACAGCAGTAGTTAGAATTATCTGCATAAAGATGCAGAAGGACATGCTATGTGCCGGGCAATGCCCGAACACCACCACATGTTGCAACAGAAACACCAGCATTCCGGAGTGCAAAGGTCGCGACGGCACTTCCGTTGGGAACAGCTTGGTGGCGGTTCCGCAGGCCAGAGCCTCGCAGTAGTTTTGGTGGGCCCCACACTTCACCCAGAGGTGGCGTATCTCGCCGGTAAACTTGGGAAGGAACTGCCTTGACTGAAGCCGAAGGTGTCGGGTGTCACCTCTGTCTGCTTCTCAGGCGCTTTGCTCGACACCACGCCTCTCTTCCCAGCCTCCAGTTCGACCTCGCGTGCCGACATCCTGACCGGTGGTCGGGGAGGCAAAAGAGGTCGTCCAAAGCCAATTCAATTCTACCGGCCTGGGCCTGGATGGTCACAGCTGCATCCGCTCTTGGCCAGAACGTAGCGAATTACTGTTGGTCTGCTTGCGTGCTTGAGCTCTACATGCAGTCTCCATGTCCCTAGCTTGAGTGCTTTTTTGCCAGGTCTGGCAAAAGCAATCGTGCAAATACTATGGATAATCGGCCAAATGCGGTTAGCGTTCGTTTTGCGGGAGAAATTGTGTCCATGCTTCTTGCCGGAAGCAGCCGCTGTTGGCAACTATCTAGAGTCTAGAGCTTGCTGATGTGCTGCAGAGCGATTTCTCATCAGTCACTCTGAAATATCGAGTGGCCACCACAACAGCGAAAAGCGGCTCGGCGGTTGCCAGCACCTTGTCGTTGTCATCCACAGCTGCCAGGCAGCGACCTGAAACAACCACATGAAAACGCACATGTTCTTGGAGCAGAGATGCTGCATACCTCTTCAATAGCTGAGGTGCGCAGCTTCGCAGCTCAACCCTTCCATCTTTGGGCAAGGGGGGCCTGGGCAAGCTCGGACTGAGAAGCCGAAGAGCACTCCCAACGGCCAGGGAGCATATGCTGCACGGATACAGCTCGCTCAACAAAACACTCAAATGAAACCACATCTTTGTTCTGCTACATGCTCTCAGCTAGTTGCGTCCGCATTGCACGGGCCAGCTGTGCTTCTGGATAGTGGCCTCCCACCGCCGGTGGCACAGTGAAAGCAGAACGAAGTGGACCACTACTACAGCAATTCCAAGCGTATTTTCAACCATGCTAGACTCTGCCCCTGCCTCTAGTTTGAGAGTAAACGCCTGCTTGGATTTTCGATTTGTGAGTGCTGGAGGATCCCCAGCCCATCACCTCGGATGCAGCTTAGCTTTCTACCAGATCTTGCAGTGATCACTAACATATTGGGGAAGAATCCCCGATATGTTAGTGCTATGCATCTGCCGGCTACCCACAACATCTGGTGGCCCGGACGCGTCTGTCGACGTGGCAATATCTTGCACTGGGATGTAACCTGGAAACACCACAAACATGACATAGGTGCGGCCACGGGAAGTCCGGAAATTATCGCAGTGCGTCTCTGAGGACGAGGCTTGCGAAGTTTGGACCTCGCTCCCTGCTGCATCTTCTCGACCTTTGCCGAGGCTTTGGCCGCCGCCTCTGGCCTCCCGCTGAAGAATCTCAGGATCAAAAAGACAGCTCTCTGACCGCCATCTTCAGTCTTTTTTCTGAAACACCTCCGTGGGCTCCTCTTGCCCTCTTTGGCTGCGGCATACCGCAGCTGAAGCAGATTGAAACGGGGGCATATAAGATCAAACCGTGCGCGAACGGAAGATTCAGCGCACGCAAGTGAAAGCAGGTGCTCGTGCAGGTTCAACTTTCGAAGATTTGCAGGTTTGCAGCTTTGGAGCAAACTGGGGACAAATTCAGCGGAACAGCGGTCTTTCAAATCGATGTCAGTGATTGCGAGTCCGTCGCGACGGTGAAGGCTTGCTGCTGTTCCATAACGATTCCTGGAAGAGACAGTCCTGCCGAAACCTGCTGTCAGAAAGTCTGAAGCATTCTTTGCACTGTCAGCGCAGGCAATGCGCGATCCTGCAGTACGGCGGAGGCCAGACCTTCAGCTGATGCTGACTTTAAGCATACTTGCTTTCAGTTCATGCACATGCATAAACCGTCAGCAACCTGTATCATGCAATCCAGTCAAGATCGCTTGCCAAAGCAGCTTACGGAAAGCATTATGCTGCATGAAAATACAGGTGTGAGAGGTCGCACTTTTGGCGACGGCTGTCAGCACACCCATCAGATCAGACTTCACGGGTTCAAGGAGGGTCAGTGACGCCTCATCCCTTGTAGCCTCCTTGGCAGCGATGGCAGGTGCACGGAGTAACAGTGAGGATTTCGACAAGTCATCCAAAGACGTGTAGCGGTCCATGAAACAGCTAACAAGGATCCTGGCCGAATGCGAGACAAGGCACGATTGCAGCATCATCAGCGTTGCATCGAAGCTGCCCGGTGCGGGCCTGCCGTCGATTTTCAGGATCGTCCAGCCAACTTGCACCTGCAGGCAAAGACTTGGGAGAGCTGACTCAAGCAGCACTTCTCTAGGAGTGCTAGAATAATTTCTGTGTCGGGCCTGAATGCTCACGCAATCCGAAACCTATCCTATCTAAAAGCCGTGGTTCCCAAGCGGGTTGTCATTCTTGGTTACGTTCTTGCACCAACGCAATGAACACGAACACATTGGATGCGTCACCTGGACTTGCAGGACAGTACTCTGAAACCTCAAAAATAGCACAAAGGCTGGCATTCTTTCTCGTGCATGTGGGGGGGAGGGGGTGTTGAACGAGAGAAAGCTTTGCAAGGTTCCGGCGTTGAAGTACCTGGTACAACTAACATGCACCTACCATACCCATCAGACTGAAAAGTCGTTAAAAGCAGATGATGATGCCAACACGAGACCTGTCGTACACACATGCCGATGCACTTATCCGCGTTGCCAAGGAAATGCAGCATGGAATTCTCGGGGTGATCCCCGAGCCACTTTACAAACAGCGCCTATTGCCTGTGACTGATCTTCGGACAGCCTTGCTGTGCTCACCAATGAAGCCAGGCTTGACGGCCTTCACCTTCATCCTTAGATTCACTCTGTATCTGCAGTCATGCCTTCCTTGCCCAGATAATTCGTGCTATTTGTCTGGAGGTATAGGAGTCTCGCGACAAAGACTCGCAAAGGTGTATGTGTGTGTGTGTGCGCTCTGTGAATGATGCAAGTTTTCGTCCAGATTGCACTTGCCCATAGTTGCTGCCTGACGCATGTCCAAAAGGAACCATAGCAACGCAAGCAACAACGAAGCACAATGCCTCAAAGCCAACCTAAGCGTCCTGAATGTTTACCCTTCCCTTGACTGTCTATCCATGTTCACATCGGTATACAGCATCAGCAGAACGATGCATGTCAAGTCTCGGCAAGCGCATGCTGAAGTCCAACCCAAGAGGGCTTTCGTAGAACCATACATCTCTCCTTGCAAGTGTGGACTGATCACAACACCAAAATGAGTTTGGGATGGCGGGAATATGGCGATTGTGCACGATCACAGTAGTTGCGTCGGGGCGCGTGCTTACCCCATCTGGGAGCAGGAATGTTATCACAAGCGGCGCGGAGGTAAATCCGGGATCTTCACCTTAGCAGGAGCAGCTGCGCAATCTGCTGTCTAGAAAGACCTACATGTGGGTGCCATCGACGATGCTGATGTTGATGCGTCATGCATGTTGACAGCGAGGCGCGGATGGCAACCTCTGCAACCATAGTCTCGTGGTCGCCGTCTGGCGACTTTTCTTCGGAACAGCAAATTGGAATGGCCCCCATAGCAGCTCCAGGAAGGAACGCTACGCGCTGTGACGGATTGTTGGACTTAATCGGCCAGGGAGGCTGCATGAGTGCATTCTTGTCGTTTCACGCACCGACTCAAATCGCGCATCCTATAAAGATCTCGTGTGATCTGCTGCTTTGCACTAGCACCCAACCTACTTTGCTGGTAGCAGAAAATGCAGAGATCCTGTTGGGAAGCCTTGCTTGAAACAGACGCCTGCGAGCCAAGTGAAGTATCAGAAGACAGCAACAGGGTTCAACCTGAAGCCATGCACTGCGCAGGAAAAGAAGAGCTTGCAGGTACAAGTCAAAAAAAAACTGAGCTTCCGACAGAGCATCGGCTGGCCAAGTGATTTCAAGCTTGTAGGCACCTGGGCCGTGCTTCCGCGGCTGTTCATTTGCTTCCAAAGGGCCGAACATCTCTTGATCTCTCGAATTCGCTTGTGATTTCATCAAATTTCGCGTCCAAGCCGCCGTGTCGGATAGGCAGAACGCTGCGCAAACCTTATGCTACAGGGACTTCTGCATAGCTGCAAGAGCAAAAGCGTGACCGGTTCCTGGTCGCTGTGAGCCTCGCTTCCGATGCGACTCTCCGGGTCAAGAGTCTTCTCCGAAGCCCGGGCTGAAGCATGCGCCGGAATCTGATCATCAGAGTCGCAACACTTGCAGGGGCGTCATCATCTGTATATTGCAGCCCACGGAAACTGCAAACTGACAGTTGACGTTCGAGGTCTGCGAGCCTCATGGTTGATGTCCGTGCCAAGGAATGCACTCGCCCAGCATCGGATCACCTTTTCTCAACGGTGCAGCGGCTTTGCCGCCTTCTCTCTCATGCGGCTCTGAGCTGCAGGCATCCCGCAAACTACGGCGGTTGTTGAAAAACACCTGCCAATCGCAAGGTCATCCTTGTGCACTGCTAGCGCCTCTGCTCTGCAACCCTGCGATGAGCTCAATAGCCTGGCTAGTAGCCTTCGCTGTCTACTAAAACCCAAACTTTTCTGAACCGTGTGGAAATTTGCCCCCCGCCCCCCCCCCCCCCCCCCCCCCCCCGTACTGCGGAGCATGGCCTTCCACACTGGAAAGCTTCGTCCAGGAGCGGTGGCAGTGACGGACAGCAGCGTCACTGCACAGGTCGAATTTGCCAAGGGCCAGTACATGCGCAACTTTGCCACGGCTGGCGAAAAAGCTGTCAAGCTGGAGGACACCGAAACGAAGACTGAATGTGACGAGCCATCTTAAAGAGATGCTCCGACATGAGAGAACACAGTGACTGACTTGGCGTGGAGCTATGCCATGCCAAAGGCATCTACCACTATGCGGGGGCAGAGCTGCCGAACTCCATTCGAGGCATTTTTCCGAGAAAAGATGCCGCGCTTTGGGGCTTAGGACATTACCGGTGGAAAGTCGGGCTTTGCCTCCAATCCGCTGGACTAAGACGCCTACATAAAATTACATAAAGGAAGGCGGTTCGAGGTCGCGCTTCATCGTCACGAGGTCCCACTTGGCTTATTTCACGTCTGACAAGCTCCACGAACTGCTTGACATGGATCGGGATCGGAGCCAAAGAAGGCTATTCCAGTACTTCATGGCTGCAAGGGTGTCGGTCCAGTGCCGAAGGCAGAAAAGGATATTTCTTTGCGAACCTTGTCAGGGAGCGTCAACAAAATACCATCTACATCTTGTTCTGCCGCCCCTCAGGCGCTAATGCAAGTACAAGTGGCTCGATCTGCACTTGGTCGACACGACGGCTGCATGCTTCCAAGTTGAGCTTTCCATTCCAAAAGTCGTTTTGGATTCCTTTATCCAGGCCAATGTCGTACTCGAAGCCGCCCAAGTTGCAGAACGAGACCTGGGACACGCCGCGTCAAGGCACAAATTGGTGCATTCGATCACAATAAAACAATATTATAATATTACATTACCATATTATCACATTCTCGTAGTATATTATCGTATTGTTGCATATGATCTTATTATCTGAATGTTATCGTATTATCGTATTATCTTCTTATCCTATTGTCTTATCACCTTGTTATTCTAGGAATTCTCGAGTTGAGGCTCCGGATCTGTTATGCCAGCGAGGTCATCAAGCAAGACCTCCAAGGGCAAGGCTTGCTTCGTCTGCCTGGTTCTTAGTAGGGAATGGGGTTCCTTTAAGGGTTCCTTTAAGGGTTACTATAAGGGTTATACTATAGGTGCCCTATAGGGGTTTAGGGTTCTTGGTAGGCTGTCTGGTTCTTAGTAGGGAATGGGGGAATAGACTACGACTATCATTGTGGATTATATAGGGACTACTATAGGGATCCATTCCCCCATTCCCTACTAAGCACAAGGGAGTATTGTGCCAGCACATGCCACTTAGGGCGGGAAGATGCCAGCCTCCCCTGCATATGTCGCGGTCCAAGTGCAAGTACGATTGCCTCTGGTTTACTGAAGGATATGCAAATGTGGGTCGCTGCATGTGAAGCTGTGGGCAACTTGTACAGGGCCAAGTAGGCAAAGACATGCAAAGACTGTAGCTAAGGCACCGTTCGGAGTATCACCTGCTGGCTGCTGTTTCGCAGACAACATTGCTGGCATCTGTGTCTCTAGCACTTCTCAGGTTCCGAAGTTTCGACATCTGGGCTTCGGACAATATCCACCGGGCTGTTCAAGCTCGCACCGCTCTGTTTTGCCTAAGAAACACGCAGCTGCATGCTGTCCTGAAACACAAACCCTTTGGCTGCAACTAGCCACATCACTATACCGTCATGACAGGGGCAGGCATGCAACACAAGCAACAAGCAGCAGTGGCAGCGGCAGCAGCAGCAACAGCGGCGCCTGTCGTTGTGCCAGCACATGACATTGGACTATTGTGCGACAAGAAAACTAGACAATGCAGCTCAAGCCACTTGCGATCTCTTGCGTCGGGCATCGCCCCGGGAGTGAATACCAAATGGCATCAGGGTAAAATGCCTCACTTTGAGCTACCGGTAACATCCTGGCACTCTAGTGTTTTGCGCCTCAATAGCTCAGGGCACGACTATGGATTGCCTCGGGTCGACTCGGACACAGCCCACATTGTAGCCGTACCTGAGCCATACTAACAAACCGCATCGTGCCATTTCAGCAGAATATTATTGAACATGTCGATCGGCCCTGGTAAAGAACTTTGCTGGCACATTGCTGTTGCATACTGTATGTACTCCTACAGTCGCAACTGCTTGCTGCAAGTGCTCCGGGTTCCAGCGCTAGAGTACCACGCGTAAAACCTGCTGCTAAGACCATTGCGCTTGCCACTATCGACAGTATGAGTGATGCTTTAGCCTGCCGCTGTTCTAACTACACTGAGAAGTCCTGCTTCCTCTCGCTCCAGATTCTGCGATTCCACTAAGATCAGGCGAGGCTGCAGCATGCTGCGAATGATGATGGATTATGACGACCAATGACGGCAAGCATATCTGCAACAACACCAAGAGGAATGAAAATGACAGCAAGCAAAGGCTCCGTGGCTTTTCCGCCCTGCTGTCCAAGTTGCTTGTCCCAGTGACTCGCCTGGAACAGGTAGCCAAGATGCAATACTGCAGCACATGAACGGATGGAGCTTGGCCGCGAACTGTGAAACAAAAGCAGTTTGAGGCAAGCCAGCTCATGGTATCATCTCTACGAGCCTTGAAGGTGGGGTCCTGCACTTTGCCCTCGGCTTTGGCGCCACAGCATGAGGGCTCTGCATAGTTGGCGCTCATTGCCGAAATCAACATAACACCTCTTGAGTCCAAGCTGCTTGTCGGAATTCTCCGAAGCCTCTGTCGGGCAAGAACAAGATTCAAGTTCTCAATACAGTTGGGCCTATGGTGCTGACTGCCATGCATAGGTTTCGCGTCCAGGGACTGTCGAACAAACGTTTGCCGTTCTGATAAAGCGCGTCGGTCGGCTTGGTCGTGACAAAGAACCGCTCAATTCCTTTCAGCGCAAGATAAGTCTACAGTTTGTCGACGTGCCTGCTCCGACATCCTTCAGCTGTCTGCAAGTGTAAAGGCTTGAATTGGGGCCGCAACGGTCGATTCCGTGCTTGCGTGGACATTGTGTGACGATGTCGTTGTGCAGATACCTCACGGGTGAGCGGGTGACTGGGGAACTGCGCAACTTCACTTTGCTGGGCTAAGCTCTCCCTCAGGCCAGTGCCAAAGAACGCCTCCCAAACTACCTCAGCTCAATAGTGTCGGAGATTTTGCTCGTATATCTCCAAAACATCTCGGACCACTTCGCAGTTGCCATCCCAGCCAGAACAGCTTCAGCCAAAGCTCCCATGTTCGTGCTCAGGTTCAGCTCACGAGGCCAAAACGGCGAGGACGCCTGCGCACGGTGCTACCTTGTTACGAGGCATCCGACTAAGAAACAACCGGGAATCAGGTGCACGAAAGAGGAGCGTATTCAAGGGCACATGCAAACATCTCAAATGCTGTCCTTTGCCCTGGGTGTTGAGCCCTCTATTACACTTGTGGTGTGCCTGCCTGATGCGTCGTACATCGTAAAGTTAGTACCGACTCTTGATCTCGTTCCGTCTTGAACCCTTCAGCCTCCAAGTTCCTGGAATCACGAGATCTCTCGCAACAAATCACACGATTTTGCTGTAGATACGAGCCAAGTCAACATCTCAAAGAGACGACAAAACTTCAGGGACCGACCATGGGCTAGTGGAGCCCAAAGCACTGTACACTGTACACTTGCCGGTCAGGCTTCTTCAGAAGCGGGGGTGCCGTGCACCTCCCTCAAAACTTGCCCTTGCCCTTGCCTTTGCCCTTCTCGCCTTTGCCACCACCGGAGCCATACTTAGGGCCCTTCGCTGCTGCTCGGCTTACGCAACTGGCAATCCACTCGCCTGTGCTCGGAAAGCCGGGCTGAGTGGTGCCAATGCAACGGAAGTAGGCACCCCAATCACCTACGGACTCCTTCCGCTTGCGCCATTCTGACTGCAAGTGCTCCAAGCGTGCAGGCAGCTTGCAATTGGTCTCCTCCATGTCATTGAGAGTTTTGGCCACATCCCCAATGACGATGTCTACTACGGCCATCTGAAACATAAGAATCTCCCTCGAGACCTTGGTGGCCTGAAACACGGGTCCACCCTGGGGTTGGGTGCCAGAGCGCTGCCACCACATGACCCAGCGGAGCGAATTCTCATCTGCATACGTACTGAGAAAGACATCCCTCGCTGGGCAAGCTGGGTATCCTTGCATCACCGTGAACAGCACAAGCAAAGCTCCCAGATCTGGCGAGTGGTCCTTGTGCCGGAAGGACTCTTCCTTCACGAACCGCGTCAGGGTGGCGCCCACCTTGTTGCGGAGGCTGTCTCGAGTGTCTACCAACCAGCGGAAGGTACGCCAGAAGTTGCACAGCGCCTCGAAGGTTGCAATCGCTGCACTCTTGTCTGCATCCGGCCTCATCATCTCCACGATCATCTGGTTGATGAGGCGCGGGAACACCTCCACGGCTGCTGCATCCTCGTTACCAGCCTCGAACACCTTCCTGCCAATCTGCAAGACTTGCTTGCTGAGTTCCTCACGCCACTGAACGCTCCCTGCCGCATGCGCCTCGTTGATCCACACTGGCAGGAAGAACTCGAAGGGTGACTTGTTGGTGTTCTGACGAAGGCCCCCGTCAAAGGCCTCCTTTGAGAGAAGTTCACCAGCCGTTCCCAGATTCTTTCGCTCTCGGCTGACGCCCACACCGAGCAAGGCCTCGGTGTAGAGCTTGCCCGTGCTCCAGCAGCAGATGTTCTTGTCAACCTTGGCCACTGCAGATTCTGCCTCACTCGCCGGGCGAGAGCCAGAGGTCGTGGATGCTACATCAGACAGCAGCTCCAGGAAGATGTCAAGTTGCTCCTCCTTTTCTGCCAGCCCGACCCGGCGAGCGAAACTACCGATGCGCTCGGCCAAAGAATCATCCCCACGGCAGATTCGGCGCAGTTGCTGCTCCACCTGCTGCTTGCGACGCAGTTCGTGGATCTCATCCTCATCAAGGATGGGCAAGACTGCCTTGGGATTCTGCTCACAGAAACGGACTGCCGACTGGTACGTCTTGTCCCGCTCCTGCTGTGTCATCTGTTCCCCCAGATCACAAAGAACGGACTGCAGCTGAATCAGGAGGGTTGTGACTGTGTAGGCAGGGCTCCAGCCACTGCCAACTGTACTCTTCCACTCTGTGTGAACGTGGCCAAAGTTGCCAAGGACGTCTAAGCAAATCACGAGCTTCCCCTGAAGCCGTCCGTCTTGCTGCACGTACGAGGCGCCGCCGCGATATTGAAAATCGAAAGAGAAGCCGATATTGGGTGCACTCAGCGGATAGTCACAGGGAAAGTCGATCAAAAAGTGGAGCGGGACTGTGACACAGCCAAGATGTGTCACTTGCATCTGCGTCCCAATTACACCATTCCACAGGCTCAGGTCAGCATCCGAGCATGGTGCTGCTGCCGCCAATGGAATGGGCTCTTCTTGGAGGCCCTTGAGGTCGGCCAGGATGCGTCGGCGGGCGGCTTGGCTCAGTGGAGTCGGGGAGGGCATGGCGATTTGGCGTGAACAAGTGGAAGTTCTGACCAACTACTTGAGCATGGAAGGGCGCTGCGGCCAGGACAGCAAATCAAGACGGTCACGAGCCCCCAAAGCAAGGCCCGCCCGAAATCATCTGAACCTACAAGCCGCCTCGAACCATCGAGTCTGGCTACGGGCCAGGCCCGAAGATCAGACGCTGAGCTTTCCGTGTCACTGACACCAAACATCCGGGCTGTCCCTCGTACACGGGCAAGTGCGATACGTTTAGTTTCAATACAGCGCGGGGCACACACAATCCTAGACTCAAGGCTGGGGAATTTAGCTGCTTGATGTCAGGATTTCGCTAGCACGGAAAATCTGCGGCTAACGAAATCGCAAGCTGGCGAGCTAAAGAGACAAGCATACATAGACAATCGGCGTTGCTTTTTCAGATCACATATTTCTAAGCTTTCACCAAGTGTCTTGTTGGAAGAGTGGGCCCCTTCTCGGAATCGTGGGCAGCATGCTATGCTAGGCTGTGCTGAAACATGAAAGCAACTTTGATATCGGACCTGGGGTTTGAACTTCAGTCTGAGCCTACAGTGCCTACAGATCAGAAGCTATCGGATCGCATGGTAAAGTGCGGCGCAGTACACTTAGAATATAATTTCTAGCTTGGCATAATGATGTTCTACTCTTGCTGGAAGCATGTTGTGAAACGCTGCTGTGTTCTGTAGGCTACGCGAAATGGAAGGCCACGTCACATCATATACTGCGAAATTTAACAGGCCGCAGGCTGCCACACCACCAGCTTAAACTTGGCGCCAACCGCTTGCAAGCTTTGTGGTTGTTGTCGTTGATGCTTTTTTACGTCTGGCCTTTCCCGAATTGCCAGGCCTTGTACATGTAGAAGCCGGTGGATGGAGCCGTGTCTGGCTTCTTGCAGCCACCTTTGCCATCTGGAAGCTCTCCAACTCCCACATCACAAACACCCGTGGTGGGCACCTTAGCTCCAAGCGTGGATCGGGGGCTTGGTCTCATGTTTCAGCAGCAAGGCTCCAACAACTTGCCGACAGAAGCCTTGTTGCATGCCAACACGGACGGATACAGTCCAGTCAAGTCTGGTCAAGGCCACAGCTGCAAATCCGAGCCACACACCGGTACTCGTTGCTGATTCTGAAGGAATACGCACCCTTGCACTCTGGAGCGTCCACAGAAGCAGCCCTCTCCATGCAGCAAACATTTCCTGCCAGGTCATGCTGCCTGTGCTGATGGCTCCGGTTTGGCCTATGCAAAGTCACACCAAGCAGCTCTTCGCCTGAACCGCACCAATCGCAATACCCACTGCGGCCATTGCAGTGTAACAGGCAATCCTTACATGCTGGACAAAGGACCCTTAAACATCTCAACACGAGCGACCCTACCTACTTACGAAGGCAACCATGAAAGAAATCTGCACGGAACATTTTTGAACCACATGACAAGGATCTTGTGATGCATGCTTCAAAAAAAAGCGCCTTGCTGGCGTCACGCAGGTATGCCACTTGGTGGTCGCGAAGGTAGCGCCTCAATAAGTTGACAGCTGCAGGCAAAGATTGACTTTGCCGGCTGGGGTTGAGTGTTCCGTCTGAGCCAAGCGGATTCATTACGAAGCTTCCCCAAGCCCTTATCTCAGATAGTTTTGGCAGGTTGCCTTCGCATTCTGGTGGGTCCATCGTTGCACCCTGCCGGCAGCAGGCATTTCCAATACCACACCAGGCACAGTCGCCGGATACGTTGCCACAAGCTCGCCAGCAGTCCTCGCCTCGGGCCCGCTTGGAAGCAAACTTTTTCGATCGCTTGAGCATGGCTTGACTCCGGGCCTGCATGTTTCAGTGCTGCAGGTGGCCAGGAGTGGTTCTTTGCACTCGCCGTCGTGGCCACAGACGCATGCCCGTAAAACAACGCCTGCAAGCCGAAGCTGTCGAGGTTTTTGGGCGTTCTATGTTGCATGATGTTGCATGGGCTGGGCCTGCTCAAGCAATTTAGTCGTGTTCACGAGCGGGGGCTGGATGCTGTTCGGGTCGATTAATAATGGAGCTGCACCGACCGCTGCCAAGCCAACTAGTCTGGAAAGGGAGAAGGCATGTAAAGGATGCGCCGCCGTCAAGCAAGTGATGGCCAGTGCAAGCACAACCACCACCTGGCAGGTTACACGTGGCAGCTGATGGTGCTCTATGAAAGCGCTGGTTGCTCCACAGGCAAAACTCACCAGGATGCCAACAAGCGACTACAAAGAAATGATAGAGCGCCCGGCAAGCAGGCCGAGAACAAATTCGGTCCTGACTTGCGCGTGCATGCAGCGGCCTGGGTTGTGCAAGTGCGAAACAACAACAAGTCTTCAGCTTCCCATTCCAGGCCCAAGCAGGCGCGATTTAACTCAGGAGCTGTGTGAATGTCTGGCCCGTCTCGTCGACTGCCAGTGGTTGGAGCTCCATCGCTGTCGAGCGGTGTTGCGGTTGGAGCTAAGTCTACATCACTGATGGTCAACCGTGGGATACATGCTCAGTTCCTCGCTGCCCGCGGAATCTGCTTGCAGTCATTTAGGGTGGAGTTCCGAGCATGTCAGTGGTAGTTGGCCAAAGGGCTCTTTGCAGTCTCAACACAAGCTTGCAGATGCATCACAACATCAAGAAAGGAAATGCGTTTGCAGGGTCGAAGGGAAACGCAAGACGGCAGCAAGCAGTAAGTGGGCGGCCTCGAGATTTCTTCTGGGATCTGCACGTCTCCTGGCGAAGGCATCTCAAAGAATCTGCTTGGACCTGCTTGTGCACAAGTTGCCTTCGCATGGGGACTCACCATGAAGACATGGCCGTGACGCTTCGATCGCGAACCAACGCGTTACAAAGAACTCTGGTAGAGGAAGTCTTGCAACTCTTCCTACCTCTCACAGCTGTCTAGGTCTGCCTCCCGCTCGGTATACACAGTTGAGTGACTTCAAACCCTGTCGGATCACCAAGAGCTATACCTATTGTGCCCATGATGCCTTGATCCTTGAGGCTCGTGTCACCTGCGTAAGGATCCAAACAACTGGCAGCAGGCATCAGCCGGCCCATGATGGCATGCTCGAAGCTCAGACCCTTTTTCCGGTCACTGTCATAAGCAAAACGGTTGGAGGTACTGCTACATGAGAGGCCTTGCAATGCAAAGCGTGATAACATAGTTGTCAGGCGTGTATTGTAGCTGCCTATCTAGTGCCCTCTGCAGCATTCGTAAACAAACGAACTTATGTATCAACATGTACCGCAAAACATGCAAGCAAGTGAAATCTGGGACTATGGCTTACAGCTTGGCAGGTGCGAAATCTCGACATCAGTGCATACATGAGCAGTGCATATATAAGTCTGCATACGTACATGTACATACATGTATCAGACACAGATATACATGTACATACATCATACTGCTGAGCCGTCCGCATCGCCTTAAGCCAGTCTATACAAATCGAACACCTGGTGCCATGGTGACAGTGACATGGTGATGATGACGGTGAGCAGGATGACCGTGATGGTGATGTAGTGATTGGGCGGAGTGTCAACATGATGACCGTCATGATGGTCATTCTGACGATTCAGATTTTACGGAGGGGCCTGTTGATTGAAGATCTCGGAGAGAAGTCGGTCTGGATATTCATGCAATGAAACCGCATATACACACCGAAAACTCAAGTAAGCAAACAGCGGTGGACACTCCGAAGTTGTGATCACTGGCTGACAGATTCAGAATGACATTCTGCTTCAATTGCGCAGCCTTTCTATGATTTGCTGCCGCTCCGAGAGGCACTGAGGGTCGAGACACTAAACTGGCCCTTCTAAAGAAGAAGCGGTTCTGGTGCTGTTGTTACCTGGTATTTGGAGTCATTGTCTTGACATGCAGTGCCGGCAGCCATGGGATAAATCAACTAAGTCCCGCATCCGTTATGTTCAGGACATTTGGGGACCTGGCCATGTAAGCAAGCAGCTGTACTTCAACCTGCCGGAAAACTTGGGCCATGGAACACGTGCAATCTGAGGCTGCAGGTTCGACTGCGACTTGTGCTGGCACAGTGCCTGCTTTGCATAATTCTGCGAGGGTACTTGTACTTCAGCAGGTGAGCGCCCGACAAGTCACGGACAAAATCTGCGATAGAACAAAGATCCGCTGATCAGTCTTCTCATGCCTAGCCGCTTCGGCATACTGGAGGCTGTCAAGAGCCGTGCTTTCAAGCTAAATACGGCCATGGTTAACAACCTGAGGAAGAGAACAACAAAGCAGTGATGATGTTCCTATTGGCATCCTCGTTGATTGAAACTCTAAGACAAGTCTGCATCCTTATTCAACGACCACAGAAGCGGTGCAGGATCGAGCTTTGCTCGAAGTGTCGCCAACCAGGGATCGTGCACAAGAGCCGTCCAAAGACTGTCATCTACACAAGGGGTGTTCTCAAAATGGGTTTGCATTATCAGGTCCCGGCTTCTATGTAAGGTCTCTCTCCCACGTAGATAGTCGCTATAGTCGGCTGATGGTGGATGTCTCGCAGGTGATGCCGCGAGCTCTAAACAAAATGGTTACGCCACGTAACTAACTGCACGTGGTGGAGATGCACACGGCTAAAACAGAATCCACATAACGTTACACCGGCGGAGACTCCATGCCTGGAGAGAGGGGTGCACGACCTGTGTTTTTTCAAGCTATCCGGGGCAAACGCGCCACAGTGCAAAATAACAACAAACAATCAAAGCCAACAGAACTCGGGAAGCGCTTGGAAAATTGCACAAACACTGCATTAGAGACATGGGAAGCCCCTGCATGATCTGTCGAACAAGACTGTGCTGCTGAATAGTGCTTTTGTTCGACCCACTTGGACTGATGAACATAGCCCGTAACAGGAGGAATACATACCTCGGGTGCCCTTCATGGAGATAAGAACGGTCAGGTCAGCCCTCTGTCCTACCGGACAAAAAGGCCTGTCACAAGATGGTGCATACATTATTGGTGTCAGGATAGCATCCACCCATCATCGATCTCCCCTGTCGACGTGAACAGGAGGGCTTATGAGGGGCGATAGCGAGCAGCCGTGGATTTGTTGTGGAATGCACCTCTGGGGTGGACAACAGCCTGGAGGCAAAAGTCCAAACTGTACAGCTGATGACTGCAGTTGCGTGGCAGTTGCACTTGTATGGCAGCGCACAGGATTTGGCACTGTACTGCTGTACTGATCTCATCGAAGCGCAAGGAGCTCAAGCAGCTCAAGAGCCCCTTTCGAAGGCTTAGCAGGGAGCCTCCGGGGCCTTGGCGCCGATATACAGATATAGACATAGATGTAGAATGATGTAGAGAAAGATTTAGACATGTATATATTATATGTGCATATATATATATACATACATTAGTATGAACATCAAAGCAATGTGTGAAAAAGGGAACACGCCTCTGAAGAGCTGAGGTCCGCTCGTCGGCCTCAATACGACGCGCCGGCTGCCCATCCTGCAATTCACAACGAGACCTCCGTAAATTGCAAAGAGCCAATAAAAAAATGCCAGCCTCGACGATGAGACCGCCGCCTTCCGCAGCGATGGCCTCTGCAGCTGTCTCGTGAACACGATGCCAGCACTTTCCAACTGGTCTGTGGCGATGGCAATGAAACCTCGTTTCGTCAGCTGCAGCTGCGGACGAGCCTGGCAAAAAAGTCCAGAAAGCAGTTTGTAACTTCTGGCGCGTCGTTTAGCTCAGCAGTCGAGAAGACCAGAGCTCCGAGATTCGATGCCTCTGACCACCGCTTGCATGCAGGTCGGAGAACGAACCTGTCATGACATTTTCGAAGGTTGCAACATCATCAGAAGGATGGCACACGATGGTCAATGGTGTGCATTCATCTGCCGTACCCGACACAGCGGCCTGTCGCCGCAATGCTCGACTCGATAAGAGCTCTGTTGGGCCAGCGAATCCTGCACGGCAGCAGCGATCAACAGCTGGAAGTGCCCAGCATGTTCAAGCATGCTGGGAAGCGCCATTCTCATGAACGTTCGCTGCTCTGGGCCTGTGTGATTGGCGTTCTGCGGGGGCGCTGCCGCAACTCATCGGTCCACTTGCCACACTGCAAAGCCTTTGTGCTGTTGAAGTTAGTCTACCAGGCAGGCACATGCGAACCAACATCAGCACTTCCACACACCAAAATCTGCCGAGGCCCTGGCACCTCGAACGGCGAAACTACCCCGACACCACATGGGCGTTGCCTGCCAAAGAGGCGGGCTGCACAGGAACTCGACTTATCCATTCAGGCCTCGTCGCTGGCCCGAAAGTTGAAATGAGCCAGTGTTGAACCTGAAAGGGAAAGGGACAAACGTGCTGACAGCTCGGCTCAGTGGCTCATGGCGGCTCTGCCTGGAGAAAGCTGCAGCTCCAGCATGGTTCCTCCAACGGCCATCGCTTCCCCGAGCCGAAATCCCCTGTAAATCTATAAAGTATAACGGTTCACTAAGGCCGGCTCCGTAGAATGTGTGCCGCAACAGCATGAAATTCACGCCTGCCGATATCTCGAGGCGACGCAACACGCCGCAGCTTGTTTCCGCAATCTTGGGCCTATGGGAGAGCATACGTTTGCCAAAACGTCCCACATCTCCGACCTGTCGCACAGCAATGCATGTGACGTTTAACACAACGTCAAGAGGTTTCCGTCCTTTCTGCCGGGTGTGTCTCTGAAGCCAACAATCAAAAACTGCTCGACATCAGTGCAAATAGTTGCCGTTCCCGCCAATTCGATATTCTGTCCCTGCGCGGCTCTCATTTTTTTGGCGGGTGGGTGAAGGAGGCGTTGACTTTCCACGTCCGGTTTTCCATGGCCTGTTTCGATCCGATTGCTCTAGGGCCGGCGCTCGAGAGGCTTACCGTGCATGGAGTTGCGGCTTGTTTCAATCCCTGGAACCCATTCCTGAACCCACTGCCCTCAGCAAGAAAGTACTTACTGTCTTGTTTTTGCACCATCGTCCGACTGCAGTAGAACACTCAAAACTCAAGCTTGCTTCGGGAGGACTGCTGCTGCACTGACAATCATGCTCCGGCAAGCTGGCTTGGGCACCAAATGCGAGTAGGTTGAGGTGTTTCAGAACACTGGAGTTGTCACAGCGGTAAGCCCCGCTAGCGTTTTCCACAATTCTCCACCTTTGGGCGACAGCAGAGTTGCTCGGATACTGACACGCTGATGCAAGCCTTTCTTCCTTCCTTCCCTCCAGCTGCTATTTCACTAAGAACTACATTTTGACCTTCTGTGACAGCCATTTTGAACGTTTTATCGTCACTGGTCCTTGCATCTGTGTTTTGAGATCCGGTGAGATCGCGGACTCTTGAAGTAGAACTACTTATGCAAAGCAGTTTGGGACACATTCCAACTTCCAACATGAGCTACACAGCTCAGCTTCAAGGCAGTCCCTTTCCCTCCGAGGCTAGGGCAGGTGGAGCG